TTGTGGCCATGGATGGGCATTACCTAGACGCATTAGGAGTTGCAAAATAGTGATTTCTAATTGTATCAGCCTTTCTTCATTTATTAGTTTTATATAAAGAAGTTCCCCTAATTCATTATTTGGTTTTCCTCAGATATAGACTACAAGAAAGGCAGGATAAATGCTAATTATTTTCTTTTGTTAGTAGTTTTCAGAATTAAAAGAGTTTGTCTAGCATCCTACATAGATGACCAATGAGGGTTTTTTCCTTTTGTATCTTTATGAACCTGTGGGTTTTTAAAGCATGTTTTATATTTTTCAGTTCATTGAATTTGAGTTTTTATTGATGCTAACGTTGTCCCATTGTATCATGAGTCTCTTCACATTGGCTTCTGAGTTCCTCTGACACAGTTCCAGTAATCTTTCATAGCTTCCTTGCTTTCTCGTGTGACAAGATGTTCCAGGTTCCTCTTACATATTTCCTTCTCCGAATCAGGAATTTGCCATTTCTCCAGGGGGTCTTAGTTCTTTTTACTGGTCATGATAGTAAGAGACCACAGCCTGAGCTCTAGGGTTGCTCACTGGATTGGTATTTTTCCTGGTAGGCCTTTTCAGGGTATAGAGCTCATCAAAATAGATTTCTAAAGAGGAAATACACTGTGAGTTAATGCTGATAATTTCAAATTGAGGATTACAGAGTATTTACTTAACTTTTTAAATTCTATATTTATGTTTTCTCTTACACTGAAAACTTGGTTCCAGAATAGAAATACCAGTGTCATTACTAACAATATGATTACTAAAAACGGTTTAAGAATTGTTTTTGCCCTGTTGATGATATGTTCCATTAGGAAATGTACAAATTGCTGTGTGATAAAACTACTTAAAAGTAATTCCTCTCTTTGTAGTTAAACTGCCAACTCAATATTATACTTAGGTTTATTTATTTAATTTTAATTTTATTTTTAGAGATTGCACTTTTCTTCTTTTTTTCTTTAAAGATTTTTTGGGGAATTGGAGGAGGGAACTGCACTGGGGAATCAGGGAAGGGGAACAGACAAGTTGCTGTCCTTTTGTTCTTCAGTCTAGCTGTGGAGGACGTCACTTCACTGGCCCATGTTGGTATTGTGATCATTGCGCTCTTCCCGGGTGAGGCAGATCAGTTGCTGGCCATTGGACGGCAGCTAATGGCAGCTCACGCCAGCTGCTGGCCACTCACGCTGGCTACCAGCCACATACGGTAGCTTATGGCAGCCCACTGCAGCCCCATAGCAGCCTATGCCATTTCTGGTGACGCATGGCAGCCCAGCTCCAGGTGGAGCTGTTGTTCACCATCTTAGCTGTAGAGAGCGCAGCATCTCTACATGGTCCTCATGTGGGATCCGAACCGGGGGTCCTGCTGCTCAGAGCTCGTGCTCCCAAGCCAACTCTTAACCAGTGAGCCACTCGGCTGGCCTGAGATTGCACTTTTCATTTTCCTTAATAACTCTGTAAAACATTTACATGGTCCCAAAGTTGAATACATAAAACAAGTTAAAATCAGAGAAGTCTAACTTAAATTCTTATCTCTTCTACTCGTGTAATCATTTAAAAAAAATGATTTTGGCTTTTCTGTCCACTTAAAACTGTATATATTTATTGGGTTATAGGAAAAGTCATGATGTATTTTTTTCTGTTTTTCATTGCAAAAATGCATCATGACTTTTCCAACAGCCCAATATATTAACATGCCCCTCTTTTTAGATTAAAGGTAGCATACTATACACACTATTTTATACGACACTTTTTTCACTTAGCAACACATCTGAGAATTACTCTGAATGTGAGGAGAGGCTTCAGTGCATTTTTCAGCTTCATTGTACTCTGTGATACGAAGTCCTATAGTTTAGCCAGCCAGTCCCGTTTGGTTGTTTTCAGGCTTTTGCTTTGCAAATGGCACCACAGTGAATAGCCTTATGCACGTGTGTCATGTTTTGTTTGTTTGACAGTGTATCTAAGATTAGAATCCTGGAAGTGGTATTGTTGAGTCAAAGGGTAAGGTAAGTATGTGATTTCCCTTGATGTTGCCAAATTCCCTTTCTTAGGTGTTTTGCTATTTTTGCATTTTCTCTAGAAGTGTACAGAATACCTATTTCCTCATTGCTTCAAACTTATCGATTTTTGCCAATCAAATAGATGTGGAATGGTATCTCAGTATAGTTTTAATTTGCACATCTCTTATGATGAATGTGATTGAGCATCTTTCATTTGTTTAAGAGCCATTTGAATTTCCTTTTCTGTGGACATTTCATATTGGCCATTTTTCCATAGGGTTGTTAGTCGGTGTCTTCTCTACTTTTAGACTCTTTATCAGGAATGTTAACCTTTACTTTTCCTAGTTTATCTGTCTTTTTTTATTTACTTTGCTAATTTTTTTTTCCATACAAAAGTTTATTTTTATGTGGTCAAATATCAATTTTTTCTTATTCTGAAGTTTGTAACATATTTTAAAAGATGCATATTGGTTGTTGCTGTGCTGAGAAGAGACAGTGGTCAGTTGGGGTGGGGGTGGGCGAGGCAAGGATAAAAATAAGACGAGTTTGAAGGTGGTGGTAATAACCCAGCTTTGGTAGCTGCAGAGATGAGTCTGGGTAGCTCCTGATGGAAAGGGTGTAGGAACAGTGGGGCTAACTCCCAAGTTTTTGGCCTAATAGGACTGAGTTGCCATTAACTGAGGAGGAGAAGCTTGTGAGTGGGGCAGGTTTGGGGGAAGATCAAGAGTTTGGTTACGGACTTGTAAAGTTGGCAATACCTATTGGACAAGTGAAACAAGTGTTTCAAAAAGGAAGGAGTGATGAACCTTGTCAGATGCCACCAACAGGTCTTGTACCATGAGGATTAAAAATTGACCACTAGATTTATCAACAAAGGCACCATTGGTGACCTCAGTGGAAGCTGCTTTGGTGGAGTGGTGGTGCCTGAGTGCCTGATTTGAGTGAATGGGAGGAGAGGAATTGGACAGTAAGAATATAGACGACCAATTTGAGGAGCAGAAAAACAGGGTAGGAGCTAGGAGGGAGAATAGGCTCGAAGGAGGATTGTTTTGTTTTTTCAATGCGCAGTATTTCAGTATCTTTGTGTGCTAATGCGACCGGACCAGTAAGAGGGAAAAATTGAAAATGGAGGAGTGATGGAGAGAATTGCTTGATTGATGCCCTTGGGTCAGCAAGAGGGGTTGGGACCTAGTGCACAAAGGAGGGGCTGGCCTGAGGTTGGGGCATAGGCAGCTCCTCCACGGTGATAGGAGGGGAGGAAGGTGGATGTGCAGCCGAGAGCACACAGAAGTTTCTGTTTCTCTGCAATGCAGGAAGCAAGGGAGGAAGAGGGAATATGTCAGAGGTGGAGGAGAGAGGTCTAAGTGTGAATTAGTCTGAGAATGGAAGTTACTGTATCATCACCTCACACCTAACCCTACTGGTAACAGTTGTGCAACTTTGATAAATTGCCTACGTCTGCTGTACCTCAGTTTGTTCATGGAACTAGTAGCAACCTGTCTCTTAGGATCATTGTGAGGACAAGGTGAGAAAACACCTAGTCTTGCTTGTTCCTGGTCCATAGTAGGTATTTAAAGGATCATTCCTTTCCAAAGTGTAGCAATAAAATTGTTAATAGATTACAGGTAGAATAGTACTTCTAATATTTAAAATGCCACTTCAATAGCAATCCAAAACTTTTTCAAATTTGCGTTTAATATTTGTTGATTACATGTACTTATGCATTCAGGATCTGGAATTGGATAGTCAAGTGCCACATTTAAAAAAAAAAGAATTAGGTCCTTTTCTCCTAGTTTGCCACTTAGATCTACAGGGACTGATTTGATAAATTTGCCCCGCTAGTTTGTTGAAAAGACAGTTTGGGTTACATTTTTAAGTTCTGTGTGATGGTTCCAGAGTTCTGTTTGATCTCAGTTCAGTTTGGCTATTTCAGCTCAAGGATGGGATGGGCCGAACCTATTCATTGCCGATTATAAGATCTGAGTTGATTTACTTAAAATTTAAGTATGATATTTTCTGATATTCACAGAAATAAAAAGTGTAATGAACCCCTATGTACTTATCATCGAGCTACTACCTTAAATGATATTCAGATTAATCTAGAGAATTAAATGATCTTTGAGGAGATATGGAACTAACTTATTCACTAATGAATAAGAGCTAAAGATTCTGATTCAGTAATAATTTAATCTGAATTCATTCAGTCATTATTTTATTCATTGATTCATACAACAGAATTTATTGAGAGTCTACTTTGTTCATGTGTGCCTAATGGCTACGAGGCTTGGCTGGGTGCAAATCTTAGCTCTGCCACTTTACTAGCTGTGTGGCCTAAGGCTGATCAGAGTAGTCTAAGCTTTAGTTTTTACATTGACAAAATTAAAGTAATGCTAGTGCCTACTTTATAGGCTTGTTATGAGGAGCGGACAAGATTCATTGAATTGTTCAGTAAGTGTTAGCTCCTGTTATTATAAAGATGTTTCTCCTTTTCCTCCTCATCTTGGTCTTCCAGATTTCTGTGCTAAGTGTCAGTGGAGAGTGTGAGAGGATTAAGATATGGACCTTGACCTTGAAGAACTAGAATTTCAAACTCACACAATATTAGAGCCAGGAGAGATCTTCAAGATGATGTAGTTTGACAAGCCCAGAGAGGCTTAGTGAATTGTGACAAAGCCGAGCCGAAGCTCAGGTCCTCTAGCTGTAAATGCTCTTCTTGCAGAAGGGCTGCTTTGTTGGTGTGTCTGACTCTGCCTCTCTCCCTCAATCCTAGTCCTTCGAAATTCACATCCCCACCTTGTGTTTTTCAGCGCTCTGCCTTTGCAGTGCGCAAACACGGACGTATATGTGAGGCTTCTTGCGCACATTAGACCTGAGTATGTCCGTGTGTGCTCCCTCTTTAAAGTTCCAGGAAGACTTTTTAGGGAAGGTGGACAAGCTGACTCTCTGTGTGTAATCACAACGGTGTTTTTGTCTTCCTCTTGTATACAGCCCAAGAGTTAAAGTCACTGTTTGAAAAAAAATCCCTCAAAGAGAAACCTCCAAGTTCTGGAAAGCAGTCAATACTATCTGTACGCCTGGAGCAGTGCCCTCTGCAACTGAATAACCCTTTTAACGAGTATTCCAAATTCGATGGCAAGGTAAGTAAAAATGCAGCTTTGTTCCTTTAAGTAAAAAAATCAATCTAGTGGAATTCTTGGTGGTGGTATCATCATCATCATCATCATCATCATCATCATCATCATCATATTTGGGGTTTAAAAATGACTCATAAATTGTCACTCACATTTTCTAAAGGTCTGAATTGGGGCTTAATGTTGTTTCCACAGTTTTATGTTTAGGAGGAGTAAAACAGAAACAGTCCTGAGATACCATGTGTCTGTATTCTTATTTTTTTTAATCTCTTAACTGTACTTGAAGATTTGGGTTAGTTGGGCTGTGGTTAATCAAGGTCTGATTGTGCTGGGAAAGCCTTGAGAGTGGTTCTGGGAGGCAGTTAGCATTGTCTTGTCTGCTTCTTCATTATAACTACGGAAATTGTTGCGATTAGAGCTTCGTTTCAGAATTCTAGGCCATTGCTTTGCTTGTCAGTATTTCATTGTAAGGTATCTTGTTTGACATTTGCTATGTAGGTGACTATTTTTTTCTGTTTGTTTTAACAATTTGCAGTTGTAAAATTAAAGTTTGTTTATTTTCCTTGTAGAAAAATGGCCACTATTTTAGGCGGAGTGTAGTTCCATGTGCAGCGCCCACCCCTCACCCCCATTCCCACCCGACCTCCCCGCCCCAATTCCCTCCATTCTGTGTGTCTGTGCTGAGCTGGGCCTCTTTCAGGAGACAGTAGCAGTTGATTTATATATTTATTGCCATTATGTTTGCTGTCTGGCAGTGGCGTGAGGGTGCTGAGTGATAGCTTGTTGCCTGGAGGGGTTATGTACAATTTGTCTTATTTCAACACCGTTGCAATTAATAAACATACAGCTCTTTGCTTATGTTTGCCTTTTTCATATCCCAGTTCTTGTCTTGTGCTTCTCTGTCAAATTGTCACCTTTGAGGAAGAAGTTTTCTCTTTGTAACACTTTACTTCATACAATGCAGCGTGTTCCCATAGGCTTAAATGAGCATGTGTGGCCATGAGTGTGTGTGGTTGTGGATGTTGGTGGGGAAAGAGACCAAGAACTAAAACCAAAACGCATAAACAGCGTAAAGATACCAATATGATCAGGAGTCTTCTCCAGAAAACGTCTGAGAGTACTTTTAGTACGTTAGAGAGTGTGTTGAGGTCAAGGTTCTGTCTAGCCTGCCTCTGCCGCCTTCTCCTGTTTCTCCCAGGGGCATGTAGCATGGAGGAGGAAGGGCCCGCCCCTCTGCAGTACAGGCATACTGGCCCCTGGAAAGTGGCAAGTTAAACTGTAGAGGATTTTTTTCTTAAATACTACAATTGAATCATTTAGATATGTGAGAAGTTATGGGATTAGGTCACATGGTTGGAATTTATTTGCTTCCATTGTCTGAAACCATCTCACTGAGGTTGTCGTTGCTAGAATAATTAATATGTGATAATGCTTTGATGCCAACAAAACAGCACGGATCTTTAAAAATATTATATTCTAGAATCCCTATACCATTAGATTGTTTTATAGATTACTTAGGTTTGGATTAGCAGTAGGTTGCGATCTCTGCTTGGTATATACCTAACTTCTGAAGTCAGCAGGAGAAATTTTTTTTTTTTAATGTCAGGAAGCCATTTCCTAAGTCACAAAGGAATTATTTTTGCTAGATGTGTGTTTACACTTAAGGCTCTCGAGGATTTTGTCATATCAGGTCTATTTGTAATCAGCAAAGAATGTGAGCATGGGGCAGTCACCATTACACATTGATTAAGGAAGATTTATATATCTATAAGTCTGTCTTGTGATGAGTTGCTATTTTATTATTATCCTGCATATTACAATTGCTAAAATACAATTAAACCCTTGTTCTCATCTATTATTTAATATTGATGCGTTTGGCAGATATGTAATGAAAGTGGCTAATATTTGAAGGATATTGTACTGTACATATTAAATTAGTCTTTCTTTATCTTTGTGAAATGCATCAATATGATATTCAATGACATCTCAATGATTAATAGAGAATTATACTTGAGTCAAGCCTTTTTGTAACCTAGAAATTAAAATGACTATTCAAATAACACCTCAAAATGATCAAATTAGCATTTTGTGATTGCATAATAATGGGATTGTAGTAGTTATAACAGCACCATGGCTGCCTCTAGAGTTAAGATCATGTCAACCCCTTGATAATAAAGCCTTTTCTGTGAGAGTCGACTTTAATAATGTCCAGATTGATTCTTCCCATAAATCATTTGACGTTCAGCACTAAATTTTTGTTGCTGCTGTAATAAAAATTATTTTATTTTTATTCAGCTCATCTTTAAGAAGTGAAATGAGTGTCCTGTTTTAATGATTCACCTTCTTGTCATTGAATTCCATGTTTTTTGCCTCAAATGTAAGCGTTTCCCATGTATTTTGCAAACGTTTGTTAAAGCCACTAAAATATGTAGTTTTTTTTTCCCTACAAATATTCACAATGCTTTACTTGGGAATAATGCTTGCCTTATTTACATAATTAACTGAGTTGCTTGGGTCTCTTGGGCAAATGGTACATAATTGGGGAGAGAAAGGGACAGGGAAGAGTTTGGGGTCTAATTAAATATGCTAAAAATCTACTTAATTATGTATTTCCTCAAGAGACTAACTGCTGTGACATCCTCCTTAAGATTAAGCTTGCATTAGATTTGAAAAAATGATTTTGTTTTTTTGACATGGCTTTACAGTTACATTAGAGTTAAGCTCGCACGTCTGGCGTCTGTAACGGTTTGTGCAACCTGGATTGTTGGTTTTAGTGATGCCCAGGGTTAGCATCTCTTAGCTACTGTGCTGAATGAAAGCGAATACTTTCAAATAAAATTTAGTTGCCGTACGTAGCTGCTTAATAATTTATTTTTCTGAAATCGTGGTTGGTTAATTTCTGGAAGGCATACAATCAAGAGGGAAAGGCTGCACTTCGGGCATGCACTTTGTTGTAATTTTGACAATTTTTTTTGTCAGGTTTATTATTATATTCATATTATTTCTTTGGCAAATTGGCAGTGCCTGTTTCAGGTTCATAGATTATTAATAACTCTGTTTACTGATTATTTGAAAAAATGTTCAAGATAGATTACAAGTGTTTTTAGGAATGCTTAGTGCATAAGGCAAAACCGAGCTCAGCCATCTGCCCTAATTCTCGGCTTGTTGAAAACAAGACCTCTGAATAGCCTTATTAACAAAACAAAAAACGTCTGTTCTTGAGGTTGAGACAATGGGCAAACTTCTTGTTTCTGATTTCACTGTGTATGGAGAATGTTGGGAGTTGCTTTGAGGCGATGAGGGAGTAGGCTGGACGGATAAGCAGCAAACATTTAGCCCTGATTTTAAGTGCCTCTTTCATGAGGATTTCTGCCCTGTCCCTCTCCCTGCTTCAAATGAGGTCACGTTTTAAGTATCTGAGCCTTATCATTTACTTGAGAAGCGTTTGCTAGCACATCATCACTGTTTTGCAAATATTTTCATCGGTAGACCCCTAGAGGTTCAAATGCCCACTGCCTGTCAATACCGTTACTAACAAAGAAATGGTACTGGTTACCAGTTGTGTCATCTGGGTCAGGTTTTTTCATCTTGCCAAATATTCGTTTCTTTACATATGAAAAGAAATGAGTTCCTTCCTCACAAGGGTGATAAGATAATCAAATAAGATAAAGCTAGGATAAAGCACCTAGTACAGTGAGAAGCAGTGTAATTTCGGTTGTAAGCAGACCTATGTTGTAGTAAGACCTGAGTTTGAGTCCTTGCTCCACCACTTATGGTGTGACCTCAGGCTGGTTCTTTCCTCTTAAAGCTCCAGTCTTCACATGTGGAATGAAATGATGACAGTGTGCCTTCCTCATGCAGATTCATTGAGATAACACTGTTTAGCAAGACATGTAGCACATAGGAAGCACTGGACAGATACCCCACTTCTGCTTCTTTCTCTCTCTCTAGAGGGTGGAGGCCAGTGATGCTGTCTCTCTTACTTCATTAGATTATTGGCAGGATGGAGTGAGAGAAAACTGCTCTTAAAACCAGGTGTTTAGAATAGCATCATAAAGATAACAACAGACTGGAGGAAGGTGGCTTTTCTGTTGAAATCCAGGGGGTCCAGTAGTGTTTTGGCCTTTAACTTTAGATAGGAAGATTAAGACAAGGAATTCCTTCCTTTCTCCCTCCCTGCCTCTGTCCCAGCCAGCCAGCCAGCCAGCCTTTATTTGACAATGGCTATTTTTTAAACATCAGGTGAGAAGGTAGTTTCATATTAGTAATTGCTTGGCAGTTTACAAAAATGATCCTACTTATTTGACTTAGCTAAATTCTACTCTAACTATAAGGAGAACGCTTGCCTTGACAAGTGCTTGAAAAGACAGACCCAGTTCTGGTTCATGCAGACAACTGTGACTTTGATTATGTTAACTTGTTAGAAAGTAACCATTTCTCTGTTAGAAACTGTTTTAACAGGGAAGCTGCAGAGAGCATGGGGGAAGGGATAATTCATGAGTGCTAATTGCTTGGCTGTTAATTTTCATAAGTGTTGATAGAAGCAGTTCCTTAAATTAAACTTTGTTTAAAATGTATCAGGGGAAATATTCCACAATGTCGAGCCTGAAGTGAAAATTAATATGAATGCTGTGGCAATTAACACATACTGGTTAATAGCTTTTAGCAGCATTTTGGGATGATAGTCCTTAAATACATTTTTGCATGCTGCTCTTGTTTCAGCATTGTTCCAGTCTATGTCTGGATAATTATGAACAAATGTTTTCTATAATCATTGGCATTAAATCGCTCTCTTCAAAGAAAGTCACTTAAAACTTTGCAGAAAAGCATGAAGCCACTGAGAAATGTGGCAAACTCAGAAAAGGTCAGTGAATTGAAATCATGTTAAAATTTGGCTCTAGAGGGAAACGCTCCTCATCTGAATTTGGAATATTTGCTGTTATCATGGGAATGGTCTCCTCTAATATGTTAAGCTCCTTTAGCTTCAGCACCTCTTTCCAAAAAAT